GCTCATTTTTGTTCAAGTATCATCATATTGTGCTCCTTAAAACAATCACACCATCTTTTTCCAGAGCAGCCTGTATTTCTCCTAAGGTTACATGTGGGTTTTTCTTTGTATCCTGAACAATTCTTCTAGTAGTTGTGGCTGCAATTGCGGCTTTCTTGGTTCACTTGACCTTGACTTGGTATCAAGAGATTCCCAAATTGTCCACTTCTTAATACGTGATTAAACAATACTGACTGGCATTTTCAAGGCTTTGAATATCTTTTTATATCCTTTTCCACTTTTTTAAAGTTCCATTACCTTGTTATGCAGGTCTTTTGAAAGTTCTTTTCTACTCTCAATGGATCAGTATCTAGTCTGCTCAGTGCATCCATGTAAGAGCTAACAAACTCATTGACTCAGACACTAATTGCAATTTAAAAAGCCACAGATGCGGGAAATTAAACTTTAATTGCCATTTTAACCTGTGCGTGTCACCTTGTACCAAGACCAAACATTCCAGGGTATTTAAACTTTTGATCAGAGCCATTTGGGTAATTTCTGTTACCATTATGATTTAAAAAGGAGCCAAACAACTATGTCATAATAAATGGATTCATATGATCACTATCCTTAAATAAAATAGTTTTTTTGTCATGATCAGTCATATTTTCAATATGAATGCCAAAATGTCATGATTTCTGCCAGGGTATGCACAATTGTATATGTACTGCTATCAATTGGGAATGGCCATAGGTGGATTGAAATTCATCTGGTCCCTGCTGAAATGGCCAGCTTTCGATCCATCTCTGGCAAGCCTAATCTCCCCATTGGGGCCACATATAGTAGAAAGAACTGGCAGATGATCCAGTCCTTATGTACTTTATCCAGAAGTAAAAAACACATTTTTCTAGAGATAAACTTTAAGGCCATATTTTTCATGACAGCAATGAGGCTGGTTTACTAAGAATCTGAGCATGTTCACACAAATTTCACGTCAATTCTCCGCTCATGTGTAGATGAACACAGGGACATTCTTTTCACATTGACTGGATAATTGAAGTGACTCTTCACACAATTTATTGTTTGAACATTCTCAAATGATTTAGTAAACCAACCTCAAAGTATTTAATATAGTTAGAGATACATATGTATGCACTAGAAATTATATTTTTGGGCCTATCATTCTAATTAGTCCTTGTTATATATGATTTACAGAAGGCTTCTGAAGTATAAAATGAAAGAAAGGGTACAAATATATAAAGATATATACATACATTTTTAAAACTTTCACAGTAAGATGACCTTTCCCATCTATTAGCATTGATCAACATAACTTGGGGGTTGAAACACTGATGCCTTCAAACAAGTCAATTCAGGAAAGCTGTTATCAGCTTCTGACAGCTGGCTATGCAAACTGAAAAGAGGCTGCTTACATGGATTTAACTGGACACTTAGCAACAGTGTATACCTTATCTGTTGGTTTTATAGAAACAGTCTCACTGAAATTAGCCAACCAGACAGATCTTTTCCAATCCTTCACATTTTAAAGTTTACTTTGTGCACTTTTTTGTAAACACAGGTTTATTTCAGTGTCTTTTTTCTCTCTGTATCATATGCTTTACATGTTTAATCAAGTGAATTAATTAGTGCTCTCAGTTCTATTGGTGTATACCTAGAAAACAACTTGTGCTGTCAAGGGAGAATACTTGCCTTTGTGTTGGTTGCTGAAGATAGTCATCAAATGTTAGAATGTAATCAGATAAAGCTAGTTGTTTGGTAGCAGTGTGCTAGCTTTGTCAAACTCCTAGGATCTTCAATAGGACAAATCTCTATCTTCATTTGTCACCCCAGTGCACCCTTTGTGTATATAATTTCCCATTGGTATTATCCAGAGCTTGGAGTCGATAGGAGACTAGCCTCTTGGCTTGCACCATTACTTCCAGCAGGCTTGATACATCTGCAATACATCCAGGAGGATTTGTGCGTTTGCTGGAAATTTTGGGCCACATAAGCAGGCTCTATTATTATGTCAGGTGTCACCTCCCATCAGTTGATTTGATATGACCCAAGTTTTAGCCAGCTGGAATCCAAGCAGATGAAACATACATTTTTGCACCATTTGATATTTAGTTACTGGAATTACAGAGAAAATGATTATTACATTCACCTATTGTCGTTATATATATTTAAATATACAGAGCTGTCTGATAACATGTTACCATCTGATTCTGTGATTTCAGCACCACAGAATTCATAGTTTTACTAATATGCTTGTAGCAGACCCAGTTTCATTTAAAATTTCCATGTGATAGTTGTAAATATAACATACTTGTGGGAAAAATAAGTTAGGAAATATACTTATCTTACTCTCAGTTTTGGCTTGTGGCACCTAAACAAAAATGGCATCACCATCCTTCTAGCAAGATCTTGGAAACACTGAGGACCCCAGATCTCACAAGATCTTTTCAACTGCTGCTAAGGGGATGCACATTTTGTATTTGCCTTGGTGCTAGCTACCACCAGGACTAAGAGTAAAGCAAAAATCAAAACTTCAGGTTGACACCAGAACAGATGCAGAGGGAATACATTCCAATTGGTATACTTGTTCCTGTGACAAATGTCTAAGAGAGGAATTCCCCTTACATTGGAGAGATTTCCTCTTAACTTCTGCTGTGCCAAAGTCTGAGTAATATCTTACTATCTCTTAATATGCACCCATGTCAACTGTTCTAGTTACTTTGCCACTCCAAGGCTCCTGCCACTTGCCAGGCCCAAACTGAAGGATAGTAAAAAATGTATACAATTTGTGAATTAAGTGGCTTATGCTTCTTCTTACACTTACATTGCTTTTAGCATGCCAAAGCTGTCACTTCTCCAAAACCCATTAGTATACTTTTTATTTGAGAGGTTTATATTTAAGGGCTTCTTGGGTTGCTAGGAGGTGCTGCTGGTTTTTTGTGATTTTGCAAACTGAGTCCCAGTTTTTCCATTTCCAGCCCCATCATCTCATCAAGAAGGGCTGACAAAATCATTCTACACACTTTTGAATCATTTGTTGCTCTGTAACATTTTTAGAACTTGGTTTGGACTCCAATTGATTTCAATGGGACTTCTGATTTGGAAATTTTCTGATTTGGCATTTTTAAAAAGTTAGGTAAAACCAAAACTGATCAATCTTTTCAGAATTTCACTTACTTCTAGTATCTATAGCCAATCTAGTGTCTTCCAGCAAGGATGTAAGAGACAGTTAGAACCCCTTATGTATTCTCATTTTAAACTTAATCTTTTTCACTGGTATATGGAGCAGTTAGACTTTTATTGTATTTTTCAGAAAAGATTTGTGATTTCTCTTCAGCACCTGCAAGCTAAGTGCTCATGTTACCCTGCATACTTTCTGACATCTAAAGTAATCTTACCAGGTTTCTAATACACCTGCTTTGCAACAGCCCATTTTCTTGGCTCACTTCAGTATTTTTTTCATTTTAAGTATTTGTATTTTGGCATTCATAGCTAGTGACAAACCGTGGCTCAGGTGAAGTTTTAGGAAAACATGGAGTATCAGTGTTTTAGAGCTGGCAAAAGATAAGTGTCAAAAGTTGGCAGAGACTGTGATTCATGCTTAAGATTGTAGATCCTATGCATTTAATAGTGCATTCCAATAAACCTGTATTTAATTACAATGCCAAGGATATAATCATTTTAAAGGATTACATGGAAGCATGAGCACAGAGAACTCTTGTAAAATAGCACAGGTCAGAGAAGAGTAAATCTATCCAATAATTCTGTTGTCTGCTAAGTCCTATTTTTTCTGTCAACCACTACACAACAACATCAATTAATCAGTGAACAGCTAATGCTATGAAGCATATACTGCAACAATTTTAAATAAAAAAATTACCTTTATCTTTATACAGTATATTATGGTTTATAATGTACAGTGCTGAGCGAACTATTGGCGCTTTATAAATACTGTATAATAATAATAATGGTAGATAATAAAATAAGATTTTTAATGTTTACATACTTTTCTATTGCCAGGTACAGTAAATGTGAAATATTGCATAATAATATCATGCATTTTGCTAAGAGTTGGAACCTTGTCACATGGTTTCCTGTTAAAGGAGAAGTGCAGGAATACAATAAATAAACACACATACTTATATGGCCACAGCTGTCTGCCGTCGGCTTTGAGACCAAGAACTGAGATATCAAATGACCACTGTTCACTCAGTTCTCTGTCTTCATTGAGCAGGGAGCAGGGACTGTCAGCCACCAGCTCTCTGCTCTGCTCCTCCAGTTCTCACTGAAGTTCCGGTCTATGGAGGGGGTGGGAGCAGCTGGCTCAGTTTCTCAGCAGTGCATTGAGAGGCTGAGCCAGCTGTTGGTCAGGCATCTGGGTGGATCCCGACATTATTGTTGCGATACATCCAGAGACTGGAGTGGCTCTGTGACGTCAGCCGACAGAGGACTTTTGCACTTCTGGGTCACAGGAGTCCAGAAGTAAGTGCACTACTGTGGCCCACAAAAGAAGTATGAGAAAACATACTTTGGCCTTACTTCTCTTTTAATCTTTACCTTCTAGGCTTGCTTTTTACAGAGCTCAAAAGCTAAAATTTACTCATACAAGTGAATGGATCAGAACATTGTCTTTTGCTTCCTTCAGCTGTCCGAGGTGTCAGCTCGACACAACGATCTTAAAGGCAGGCAATTTTTCCTCTTCAGATAACCCATAGTGGTATAGGAACCCTTTGCCATGTAACTTTAGGCTCATTTTCACAATTTCTTGTTCTTCCATATCCTCTTTGTCCTTAAAAGCCTGTTGTGTATAGAGCATTTTTACATGGCAGCAAGTGAGTGAGTCAGAGTTGTGACCCCCCCTCCAATTTCACCATTTATAAGGCTATGCTAGTTAGCTTTAATCAGAGACAGAGTGGTTTACAGGAGATTACTATTGTTGTGCCCCATTTCTAGAAAACTCTTAGTGCTTTGGGAATCCTTTGTCATGTATTACATGTTTATTTGTAAATCAAAGAAGAACATTCTTAATCTTGTATTAAAGTGTTACAAGACCCAGTACCCTGCATTCAATCTATCGGAGTCATTCACGTAGGGTCAGCAACAAGGTGGAAGTAAACTATAGAAACTTTATTTGAGTGCAGAGTATTAAATGTTCCAGGAGACAAAGGGAGGATGCAGAACCCCCGACCTCTGTCTGGACAGTGCTGATTGGCCCTGTGCTGATCACATGCACTTTCCCAAGAAAAAAAAAAAACCTCTCTAGCAATACATACCAAACTGAGCATGTGCAGGGTGGCTCTGCACAATATGTATTATCAAGAGATAAGAGGGGGACACTGGAAGAAGGGGAGGATCAGAGAAGTCAGGATCAAACAGCATTTTTACACAATTCAAAGGATTTACCCCTTAGGTTCCAGAGTGAGTATACCAAGCATGCTTTACTGCATATACAAACTGATTTTATTGTTGTGGGTTTAATAACACTTTAAGGGACACAGGGTCTGAAGGTATTCACTGACACTGGGTTTTGCTGTAATTTTCAGGAGAATTGGACACTGGCAACAAAAAATTGTTAAACAGAAAGTATGAACCTTCCATCTTCCATCATGTTTTTTTTATAGTATCTTGGGACAATTTTGTCCTCAGAGAAAAGCAACAATCATTTTTTTTTCCTTCTTAGCAGGACATTTTTCCCTTAAGTTAAGTTTCTTCACATTCATTGCAGAGCTAAGAGAGCTCACTTTGCAGTTTTCTCCTGCTTCACTGCTCCTCAGTGTTCACCACATTGGCTAAGAATGTCTGCAATGTGACAGCCAGTCACAGGATGCTCTCCAGACTACAGCTGTGGTAATGTGAGGGCTGTGTCCTCATTTTTGGGAGACTAGAATGTTTACACTGCCTCCTGAGTTTTCCCCTTGTGGGTTAATCCTCACTTCACTTGTACTCTGACACTCCAGTGATCTTTATGGGGCTGATGCTGCAAGAGTTTTTTTCCTTCTTATGCTTGTTACATTTTTTTTTCAAAAATGACAAACATGTTATACTTACCTGCTCTGTGCAATGGTATTGCACAGAGCAGCCCTAAACCTCCTCTTCTCGGGTCCCCCACCGCTACCCTAAGCTCCTCCTCTTCTCTATGTGCGACTATAGGAAATCACTTTCTATGGTGGCACACATGCAGACATGCTTTCTTGCTGGGCTGTGTGCATCTATAGACACACATAGGGTGGCTTGGTTCCTTCTCTGTTTCCACCACACAGGATTTGATTGACAGCAGCAGGAGCAATTGTTCTGTGAGGAAGAGAGAGCAACACTGCTGCACTCAGGCACAGCACTGAATTGAGATAGGACTCAGGTAAGGGGGGGTGAGTGGGAGATACAATCACTGAGACATATTTTACTTTAACCTCCTTAGCGGTTTTACAATTTGAGTACCAAGAGCGGTAACCCCGAGCTAAAGTCGGGCTTACCATGTGGCGTTGCTCAGGGAGTCCTGCAGCACTTACCTTGTCCTTCGCTCCCGCGATGTGTCCCCTGCAGTGTTCCCACCCATCTCCTCCGGCCGATGCCGGCATCCGGCTTCCGTGTTCCGGTCCCTGTGACGTCGGGACGTACGGGCGCCGGCGGTAAATTTGAAATTTTAAAAAAATTTCATTTTTTTAAAAATGATTATTACATAGTAAAACATTGCTGTTTCAATGCATTTCACATACATTTTGTCCCTAGTGCTTTGTCCTGCGCCCTGCCTGCATTTTGACTGTTCTTTCTGCCTGGAAACTTAGAAATGTCCATGGCGTCCAAAAAGCGGCCCTTTACGTCAAAAGCGGTTTTAGACCAGCTAGAGAACAGCGATAGTAAATCATAACCAAATATAAAAGTTGATGCAGCGCTAAAAGTTCTTATACCTGAACAAAGTACAAAATCAGAATATGTAGATAGGTGTATAAAGATGACCCAAATCCACATGGGGATAAGTAGGAAACAATGGCCCTCAATAAACAGATAACAGTGGTTAAGTGCAGGATGAAGTGTCCGTAGTTCATATATCTAAAGAAGTGCAGGTGAATCACAGCACACTCCAAAAACGTGATCCCAGGCAGTCTTGCTGCAATGGCCTCTCACCTCCACTCTATGACCCTACAGGGCCACAAAGCATACTGTAGATCACCTCGGAAACCTCCAATTCAGAGACTCTTTAGATAGGATGGCATCACATGAACAAGGACAGTATTCATCCAGACCAGTAGGCAAACGGAAAACACTCTCCTCCGATGTCACAACCGCTCATAGGCTCATAAATGAGGAGATAAACACAGTCCTCATAGTTTATTACCGCTTTAATTGCAAATGGGCAGCAAATATCCAAAAGGGAAAAAATAATCCACTTACATGGCAAACAGCTTGTATACAGATGGCAACACTGTGCTGGGTGTACAGCAGGATCAAAAAGGTGCACCAAGATGGCGTCACGCCGGAAGTACGTCACCACGCTAATGCCGTCGACGCGTTGCGTCACGTAACTCGTGACTTCATCAGGTCCTGATGAAGTCACGAGTTACGTGACGCAACGCGTCGACGGCATTAGCGTGGTGACGTACTTCCGGCGTGACGCCATCTTGGTGCACCTTTTTGATCCTGCTGTACACCCAGCACAGTATTGCCATCTGTATACAAGCTGTTTGCCATGTAAGTGGATTATTTTTTCCCTTTTGGATATTTGCTACCCATTTGCTATTAAAGCAGTAATACACTATGAGGACTGTGTTTATCTCCTCATTTATGAGCCTATGAGCGGTTGTGACATCGGAGGAGAGTGTTTTCCGTTTGCCTACTGGTCTGGATGAATACTGTCCTTGTTCATGTGATGCCATCCTATCTAAAGAGTCTCTGAATTGGAGGTTTCCGAGGTGATCTACAGTATGCTTTGTGGCCCTGTAGGGTCATAGAGTGGAGGTGAGAGGCCATTGCAGCAAGACTGCCTGGGATCACGTTTTTGGAGTGTGCTGTGATTCACCTGCACTTCTTTAGATATATGAACTACGGACACTTCATCCTGCACTTAACCACTGTTATCTGTTTATTGAGGGCCATTGTTTCCTACTTATCCCCATGTGGATTTGGGTCATCTTTATACACCTATCTACATATTCTGATTTTGTACTTTGTTCAGGTATAAGAACTTTTAGCGCTGCATCAACTTTTATATTTTATTCATATTGCCTTTGCTTGGTATGGGACAGATGCTGGCTGCTTTCTAGCTTATTCCATTGTTTACCATAAGAGCGCAGGAGGATATATATCTATGTGATTTAGTAAATCATAACCACTTGCAGAATTGAGTGATAATGATTCGTGGGGAAATTCGTCATCAGACACTGAAAACAATTTTGCAACTTTGCTCAGTGATGTGCGAACTTGCCTCTGTATTTCAAATTTCAGTGTTTTTGGTTTGATTATATTATTGAATTAAATTTATTATTATTATATTATTATTTTTTATGATTATTTATTAAATTATAATTTATGATTTTGTGTTTCAAATTTTATCCTACCCGGGATGTTTACTAGACTCTTGTTCGTACAGATTTCAGGGAGTTATTCCTAAAAATTTCCATGCAAAAAAATGGTACCGCTTTCAGCACAAAAAATCGGAAAGAATCATACCGCCGAGGAGGTTAATGCAGGGAATGCATTAAGAGAAAACATTTCAGCCTTTATAACAACTTTAAATATTGGCTAAGCTGCATTGCAAAAAATGTTGCATCAGATACCCAAAAAGCATTGAAACCAGAGACAGCCAGGCCCACTAGCATGTTCATAAATAGGTCAACATCAGCAATGGCAATCCCTATATTTCCTTCAGTAAAAAAAGAAGAGATAAAACAGGCACTCAACCCTAGTTCCAGTTAAATACCACTATTCCTATAGTCAATAAGGCCTGCAATAGTGCTTTCTAATGCACATGAAATAAATTGACAAAAATGCACCGTATGGAAGACCTGCTAATTAGCTAATTGTTCATAGATAAACCTATGAAACAGTACAAAAGGGATAACAGGCACATGGTGTGGCAGTCCATGTATGTTTGATGAGTTTCAAATGGGCAGGGGTGAAGGTAGTCCAGTAGGCACTAAGGGCAAGCTGTGTAGGAGTGAAGCAAAACTCTGCAGAAGGGAAAACAAAGAAACACAGCGCCTCTAAGTGTGTACTGTGAAGGTATTTAATAAAAAGATAAGTAGTAACTCACATCTTAGAATTTAAAAACAGGCTCATGGGTGAGACGTCTGTAGCCAGATGTTGTTGTGTGTCTGATGAAAGAGGAGATCGATTGAGTCCATCAGCAGGTGGTGCTGTGCATGTGCAACATGGATGGTAAGCCTGGTGGAATCTCCAAGGTGTCTGCCAGCAGATGGTGCCTTGCATATGCAGCGTGGATGGTGGAGCCTGGCAGAGTCTCCAAGATGTCCGGGATCAGCACATGTGGCATCTGACGTCATCAAAATGCGATGCGTTTCTGAGCATGTGCAGGACAAGATGAGTCCAGGCGTGCTCTTTCATCAGGTAGGGCTTGATGACGTCAGATCTCTAAACTGCGGTCTGTGTACTGGATGTGGCCCTTTGCTTGCCTTTATTTGGCCCCTGAAATACTATTCCTCCCACTAACACCAACAATGGTTTACTATTCCTTCCACTGACACCAAAGATGGGGAACTAATTCTCCCACTGACACCAATGATAGGGCACTATTCCTCCCACTGACACCAATGATGTAATATATTTTCTCCCACTGACCACCAAGCCTATGGAATTGTTTACTCCCAGTGACGCCAGAGCATTTTCTACTCCCAATGGCCACAGTGAACCTATGTATTCCTCCAAATACAAGTGCAATTCTCTCCACCGCTGTGCACCCTCTGCTGTCTCCACTGACTCTTACCTTCACAACATGACCCACCTTGAGGTGAACGTAAAAAAAGGCCTTCCAAGATATTGGGTTATAGAAGCTATCACAGATCCTCCCTGGGTTCTCTATTCACCATCATATGTAAAACTCCTCCACACAGTAGAATACAAAAGTAATAGGAGATCTAATAGTGTAAAATGCAACTATTCAAGTTGTTATTATAAAAGGCTAAAATATTACTCACAAAGAAAGTGCACTCTATAATCCAGTGCACTGAATTCCAAGCATTTTTGAATGACAAGCTGTGTCTTTAAGTTTGGACATCTAGGAGAGATATGGTAAAATGGCAATTCTCGTCCTTCCAGGCGTACTGATGTCACATAGGTACCCTCTTGAAGAGTTTCGGCACACTGTACAGTGACTTGCTCATAGGGATCCAAATTGGATGTCCTAAGCTGCTATAAATACACACCCTGTTCTATTTCGTTGCCCGGCAACTGTGGCCATTTTACCGTGGTCTAAGTTTCTAGAGGTAAAATCGGCATTCATCTAGTATCAAGCATAGTGGTAATTTTTTAAAAGTCAGCCTGGAACACTCTCACCCGATGCCATTGAAGACAGAAAACCTGTATAAACTTTTGTGCCTGTATAGTATATCTTATGTCCAAATGTGCCCACCATTGTTTAACATATAATAAAAACTGCATAAAAAAACTAAAAAGTTAAAATGAAAAACTTTTTTTTTTAAAGGAAACAAATATATATATATATAATTCCTAGAGTATGAAAAGTCAGGTATATTAAAATTCCATACTCATATGTTGAGTTTTTGTTGTGCTACACTTATTAGGGTTTGTTTGCAATTTTGATGTGGGAACACATTATAGTGAACAGCAGCAACAAATTAGTTATTTTTTTATGCACACTTTTATAATTTTTGGTGTCAGATATAAGTTATATATATTTAGACATTTTGTGTGGTAGCGCGGTGGTTTTATTTTTTCTTTTGATTAAGTGCCTGCATATCTGCATTATCCCCTGGTCCTACACCTGTACCCAGTGGTGTATTTAGGTTTTATGCTGCCCTAGGCAACACAAAAATTGGCGCCCCCCTCCCCAGTGCACCCCCACTGTACCCCCACTGTCTCAAGTGCACCAACAGTTGCTGAGCAGAACTTAGTGGTCGGCCACATCTTTCTATGAAGGTGTCAGTTAGTGGTATGAGTGGTGTGAAGGTGTCAGTTAGTGGTATGAGCAGCGCAAAGGTGTCAGTTAGTGGTATGAGCGGTGCCTAGGTGTCAGTTAGTGGTTTGAGCAGTGTGAAGGTGTCAAATAGTGATATGAGTCAGTCACCTGGCAGTCTCTGGTCAGTCTCTGTCAGCTCTCCACCCCCCTTCCCCATAGTATACATGGTATACACAGTAGTAGGATGGAGATCACTCACCAGGCCTGGTGGAGGGGCGGAGACTGAGGGGGAGAGCCATGTACTGCTGGTAAGCATCCTCCTTGCAGCCGCATTTCCCTTTCCTCTTCCATCTCTGTGACAGAGATTCCTGCCTCCCCTGGACACTGTCGTCCTTCAGGATCATCACTCAGCCCTGGATCCCCACCACCATCCACTGCAGAGAGCTTCGACCCTCAGAGCAGCCTACAGGAGTTGTATTCCTTTCCCCCACATAGCCTGCTTTGATTGTAGTTCGCTCCTGTGGAGGCGACAGGTCGGAGTCAGGAAAGGGACTATAACTCCCAGCATGCAGTGTGCCCAGCCAGGCTGTAGGCTGCTCTGAGGGTCTGAGCTCATTGAGCTCTCTGCAGTGGACGGTGGTGGGGAGCCAGAGCTAAGTGATGTTCCTGAAGGATGGCAG